CACTGAAAGATATGTTTGAAAAGGCAGGGTGATGCCAGATCCAGACTAGAGACTGCTCGAAATGCCAGGCCAAGACATGTGCTTGAGCCACTAGGCAACAAGGACCTATTGTAAATTATCAACTCCGACTGATAAGATTAAACTGTTATTTTAAGATTGCTCAGGCAGCAATGTTTCAGAAAGACTGAAATTAGAAGATTCTGAAAGTGGGGAGGCCAGTTATGCTCAACAAACACCTACTGAGAACTCAGATCCCAGGCACTGGAGGTAAGGAAATGAAAGCCAGTTTCTTCCTTTGAGGAGTTCACAATCAACTGAGAGAGATAAACAACAAAAACATAATGTAGTAGATATGATGACACAGTCAACACAAACCTAGGGTAGATAAAATATGGTGAAAGAGAGGAGTCTGATGTAGCATGGAAAGAGAGAAGGCAGGGGAAAGACAGAGCTGGTAAGCTCTAGCTCTTCAGCCTCACCTGCTGAAATAGTTAGCTATGAGGAAAGGGAAATAGAATGTTAAAGGGCAAGGTAATGGCTTGGCACAGCCTATCAAGATTATGAACCATATAGTCAATGAGGGAGAAAGAGGAATGTTCTCTTAACAATGATCAAGCCAGAGGGTGTGGTCATGTAGTGGGCCAGCTCAGTTTACTTCCAGGATCCTCTCTAACCCTCATCAGCTAAACTGAAGAAAGCAAGTAGTGTAGGTTGGCAGGCCAGGAAGGAAGCTAGAAAACTAGTTTAGGTGCTAGAAGATAGAAAATGGTTGCCTGGAAAGAGATTAGGGATGGAATTGACTGGAAAAGCACCCTAGAGAAATTTGGGGGATTTTGGTGTTCTGTATCTTGCTTAGGATGCTTGTTACCTGTAAGCATACGATTGTCAAAACTCAATGAACAGAACACTTAAGAACAGTGCATTTTAAGGAATTCCCTGGCGGTGCAGTGGTTGGGACTCTATGCTTCCACTACAAGGGGCACGGGTTCAATCCCTGGTCGGGGAATTAATATCCCACATGCCGTGTGACCAAAAAAAACCCCAAAAAATCAGTGCATTTTATTGTAGGTAAATTATGCCTCAATAAAAAAAGAAATCAAATTACAAAACTTGAGGAGGGAAAAAAGAAAGTTAAGACTCAAAGAGGGAATGGACTTGAGGATATGGGGAAGGGGAAGGGGAAGCTGTGACAAAGCGAGAGAGAGGCATGGACATATATACACTACCAAAAGTAAGGTAGATTAGCTAGTGGGAAGCAGCCGCATAGCACAGGGAGATCAGCTCGGTGCTTTGTGACCGCCTGGAGGGGTGGGATAGGGAGGGTGGGAGGGAGGGAGACGCAAGAGGGAAGAGATATGGGAACATATGTATATGTATAACTGATTCACTTTGTTATAAAGCAGAAACTAACACAGAGATGACTGTACACAGTTTCTACTAAATTACGATTTGATATTTGCAGGGTACTTGGAGTTTGAAAGTCTGTTGCCAATACCTATTATTTGCCAGACCCTAGACTACACTGTTCACATATTTCAACTTCATCTCCGACCCAACAATGTCCATCTAAGCTTGGTATTTTAACAGTATTGTGACTATTTCAGGGAGAGAGTGAAATAGGTCTGTGAAAGGAGGTGGAGAGCTCAGACGAATGGAAGATTTTGTACAGTGTGCAGTGTAGACTGTGAGATAAAAGATGTATGAGGGCTGGGTTCAGTCCCCCGAAAGGCAGAAGGGGAAAAGGTGAGAGAAAGGCAAGGAATACAGGAAATGTCTGAAGGAATTTCTCCAGAAACTTGAAAAATCAGAAAATTGGGTCCATCTCTGATTCAACCTTTTCTTCCACAAAAAAAGGAATAAAATTTTTGTAAATCAACTTAAGAAGTCAAAACTCTGCCGTTAAAATATTTAGAATGGGGGGCTTCCCTGGTGGCGCAGTGGTTGAGAGTCCGCCTGCCGATGCAGGGGACACGGGTTCGTGCCCCGG